AAACAGAACATATGCCATGCCCCCAACGAAAAGATAGGACAGTCTGCCAACCAGGACGACTCCGGAACTTCATAACGCATCCAGTAAGCAAAGTAAGGCAGGATCCATTATCCAGGTCACGCAGGAGGTAAGCTGCAATGGCCTCCTGTTCCTCATGAGGTGGGATGCAGCAGGCCGAAAACCTTCAGAAGGAAGGGACCGAAGTACCTAAGGGAACTTGGAACCAAACCCGGGGAGGGGTTGATGCCACATTAAACTCATACAAGGAGGGGATATAAGAAATCCCCCGCCACCTACAACAACAAGCTCCGCTCAGAGGGTACCAAAATTCAAGCGGGGTCAAATGGGCCTCAAGCCCCCCCCCAAATCAGCCCCTCCCCTGCCCCGGAAACTTCCATACCAGGACCAGGAGCCGAGTCATCCTCCAAACCCTCCACCTTTAAAGAAAAGGCAGAGGCTGCCGCAAAAGCTGGAATGAAGGGGTCCCACTGGTCAGACCCAGAAGCACCGGCTGGAGGAACGGGTGCGGATGCCTCCCCCTTTGTCGGGGGGAGGGTGAGGCACTAATGAGCAGACATGCTAGTTGGATAACGTGTTCCTTGTTACGTTGTTTTCTATTAGGGGGAGTTCTGTGCCTATGTTCAGACGTAGATTGCAATTTTAACCAGTTAGAGGTTAGTAATTGTACGCCTACCATTCTGGTGGTATCCCCAGTCGATGGCAGACATGACAAACTCTAAATATAGAGCTCATATAGTCATTGCTCTCTTTGCCTCTCTGAGGGGTGCCAGGTTCTGGTTCATGACCCCCATTAGGCACTCGAACTAGAAAATGAAAACCTGAACCAGTGCCTGGAAAAAATAAGCTCAGTAGCACTAGATATATGCTCAAACCACATACCCCTAAGAAAAAAAGAGAGGAAGAGATGCAGATAAGAATGGGAACAGCGTTTCCTCTACAGGCGAAGGAATCGAATTGTGGAACAACTTGAGAGTCGCACCCTATCCCAGAAACGACAAAGAAGGGTACGTAGATATAGAAACGATTGCACTATAGCTACAAGAATCATACAAAATCCAGGAGAGACAAAGAGAGCACAAGGTCATCAGTGAAATAGAGAGAAATCTGAAATATTTTTTCTCCTCTGCAAAATCAAGATAAGAAACCAGCATTGAATGTAATGAAACTCCATTTTCTGGGCAAGACCCGGAGGCTCCCTGGAGCTATTGGACTGATATTAGCTATAATAGTCTGGGGCTTCAGTCATATGGAGTTGTCATGCCTACCAGGAACCACTAGCCAGAACATGGTTCCCTCAGAGAGGCAAAGGGAGCAATGGCCAATGAAAACTCCGCTGTTTGGGAGTGTATTCCTGTCTGCCATCGACCGGGGATGGGCACCCAGAATGGTAGGTGCCCCAAAATAGACCCAAACTGGAATAAAAATACAATCCGAGACTGAAACAGAGGATAAAAACTCCCCCAAGAAAAACAAGGAAACAAGCAAACCGTCATCAAACCAATGCGTTGTTCGTTTGTGCCCCTCTAGAGGGGAAGGAGGGGGGAGGCCCCGCCCCACCCAAGCTGGCCGGCCATGTGTTCCGTGTTTGGAGACTGAGCAAACAGAAACTAAAACCGCCAACCGGAGAGATGGAGGGAGGGTGGCAGGGAACCTCCAGGACTCACCCAGAAAATGACGTTTCATTATATTCAACGCTAGTTTTTTGTAGGGAGTTCCGTTGGCTCCCTAGAGCTAGCTACCCAAAGAGTAGTAAAAAATAGGGACTTAAACGGGAGGGGATCACACAGCATGTCTCATGACGAAGACGAGACAACTGGTTGCAACTGCCGACCCAAGGCGACACAAGACCGCCGAGGGCCCGGCACAGTAACGAGATAATAGGCAGCCAGGACCCTGTTCGACCTCCAAAACACCCGTGCCCGAATGTCATCCCATGACATGTTCCCACATGTCATGGGGAACACAGCACACGGCACAGCAGCACGAGCTGCAAACTTCAGAACATGGTCATCAAGTCAAGCCAGCCTGCGGTCTGCAGGCTGGCTAGACTGACTAGACCCTCCGGAAGTGTGCCGCCTCATTCTTTGCCAGAAAAAGAGATAGCTGCAAGCGAACAAAATGTCCGCCAGGACCAAAAGAGCAGAAGCCCCTGTGCTGGAGGAGAGCATGAAGCTCCCTGACTCGACCTCCAGAGGCCAGTCAACAAAAACGATCAATGGATTGAAGGGGTCATCACAAACCAAGGAGAAGAAAGAAAGGAGAGTACCCAGTCCAAGGACCAGGATGGCTCAGGCGGTGCATGAGCAGACCGGAGGTGGAAAAAGCCATGAGAAAGTTTACGAAATAGAGCAGAAGTGACATTCATCCCGAACGCAAGCTGAAGCGGCTCTGCTAGCGCCGCACAATACAAGGCGACAGCATTCGGTAAAAGATGTTTGTCCTGAAAGAGCTAAGAAAGGAGAGACAAAACAATACCATCCAAAACCGAAGACAATCTACGAAGGGAAAGGAAGTGTTGAAAAGACCCCCAAAAGACTTCATACTGTCTCCGAGAAGAAGACCGCAGGTGGGACACCATTAGAGAAGCCACCTGATCATCATAAAGATGGTGGTACACCCCCATCAGAAATACCAGATGCAAAATATTAGTACAGTTTAAATGAGTACAAATGTTGGAGGCTAATTGCCCCTCCTTAATACAATCCCCTTACCACTGACATCACCATTTATTATGAATTCTTTATTTTAACTACGGAATATGAATGAGAGTCGAGTTACAAACAAGCGAAATAGTAAAATTTTCTCAGCTAATTTGGTTGCTCAGCTAAAAGGCGAGGAAGTGAAGTATTGAGGCAGCAGCGGTGCCAGCCATGAGTAACCCGTCAGCAGATCATTCAGGCCAACTCAGCCTTGTGCTGGACATGTCTCTTTACTCCCCATCAGCCTTACCTGTCACTCACCACTAGTGCAACCATTGACACCACCTGCCTTCCCTGACACCACTATCACTACCTGCATTCCCTGACAACCGGTGCCGGGCTAACTCCCGACTGCTGTTCCGTTTCAATTTCTGCCGTTTCATTCAACATGTAATTATTGTCATTATTTTTGTTTTATACTTCAGTTCAGTTCTTGCTTTTGATCTTGATTAGTTTCATATCTTAAGTTTTTATTTGTATTTTCCCAAATCCTACCTGAAACGCTGTGAGTATTAATGGCTTTAAGCATAGTATATACTAGCTGTATCTAGAAATCCAACATTCTGCTTGTAACTCATTTTGTATGTATGTGCTTTTCCATAAATAAAATTATCATTATAAGAACTGCCTTAAGGGGGCGGCTGGTTATTTTAGTGAATGTTGTTCTATGTCAACCAATATTAGTTTTCTAGTTGTATATGAAAAGTGCTTAAATTGTCCCAAGTTTCAGTACTGCAGCGTAAATAGAAAGGGAGTTTTTTTTTTTTTCCAACGTTTTTTACGTATTTTCAAGTTCACACTTCAGAACACACGTTTCAGATATAATTATTCTGTGACACTTTTCTGACACATTAGCATATAATAAAGGATTTGGGGATTTAGAATTTCCAAAACATCTTTAGTTTTCCTAATACAAATGTTCAAAGTTCCCCAAATTTTTTTGCAAATATGGCATGTTTGTTGCTATTATAAAATCAATAAATGAACTTAGAGAAAAATGAAAGCCCCACAATGTAGAGACATGCCCTCCACATATACTGTGTAAGTTTCATGTAAATTGAATAAAAAAGGAATCAGTTTTGTAAACGTTTGTGTCAATTGAAAAAAAAACAGAAATGAATAAAGTCTAAGGTTCTAAAATCTGTGGCTGAGGTTGACATCAACCAATTTTCTCCAAAATTGGCATCCTTACAGATAGGCTTACGTACAGTCAGGTGTGTAAGTTTGATGCAAATCGCCAAAAGAAAAAATGAAAAAAAAAATATTTAAAAAAAAAAAAAAAGAAAAATCCTTTTTTTTTTTTCTTAAAAATTTTTTCCAATTAAACTAATTATAATATTTGTTTAATATATGCTATTGTGATAGCAAAGAGTCGTAGTTATGATTTCAGTTGACACTTTTGATTGATAATCGATTTTGACCATTTTTGCATAATTTTCACAACTACTTCAATATTTTTTTTCTCCCTTCCTATTTATGCTACGATGCTGAAACTTGGACCAGATGAAACACTTTTCATATAGAACTTGTCAAAAAAGTTTGATTGAAATCGAACGAGTTTTCATTTTTGCATTTTTGGACCCAGATGCCAACCAGACGCCCCCTTAAGAAACTCGTACAGTACAAGGAATCATTCAGAACCTTGTATGCCACTATTTCAAACCAATCTTGCAGTATGTAGCTCCAGCCTGGAGCCCATACCTAGTTAAACACAAGACAAAGTTAAAGAAGATTCAGTGATGTGCCAGGAGATTACTTCCAGAACTAAGAGGTATGAGCTACGAAGAAAGGCTACGGAAGCTAAACCTTGTCTCTGGGCGACAGAAGTTAGGCAAGACATGATCACCACCTACAAAATTCTCAAGAGGAATTGACAGGGTGGACAAAGACAAATTATTTAACAAGGGCACAATACGAACAAGGGGACACAGGTGGAAACTTAGTACCCAAATAAGCCACAAGACATTAGAAAGAATTTGTTCAGTGTCAGAGTAGTTAACAATGTGTTAGGCAGTGATGTGGTGGAGGCTGACTCCATACACAGTTTCAAATGTAGACATGATAAAGAGCCCAGTAGGCTCAAAAACCTGTACACCAGTGCTAGCACACCTAGGTGAGTACTTAACCAACCTTACTTGTGTACAGCTTTTAGTCAATTTTAATAAATATTATTATTTAGGGCTCATTTTGATTGTCATGAATGTATAGGAGTGGCCACCAACCCTAGACCTTCAACACAGTGGCCCCAAGGGTGCCTGGCTGATGCCAATGTTTGAATACCTTTAGTGTGATGCAGCCTCTGGAAAACCTCACACGCAGTTATTATTTGATTTCAGGCTTCAAACAGTTTAGATATTTGTATAAGCCGTTGTTTCGTGCAGGTGTTGTTATTGGTTGAGGGGCAACGTCCTGCAGGTGTTGTTGGTTTAGGTGCGAGACACTCGCGGGATCTGGTCCTGCAGGTGTTGGGTCTCGCCGGCCGCCAGACGTAAACAAACTCATATGTTAGTTATCAACAAAACTTTTGATTCCAAAAATTACCAAAATATTAAAGTATAATTGGATTTTTGTTTTAATTATTTAGAGTTTTAACGAAATATATTTATAATTTATTCTTGAGATTATATTTAATAATAATATATATATATATAATCGACATATTCCCAAGGACAATTTTGTAGCAGTTATACGTCGGTGAATAATATCCTAATAATTGTGTTATTATAATAAATGGTACTTGAGTAGTTTTATTGTGTAAAGTATAGTGATGCAATTAAATTTCTTTCTTTATTATGCACCCCATACCCATCCCGTGGGCGGTGGTGTAAAGGATTACAGAGGCACATGCCAGAATGTAAAAATACCAATCTTATATAATCTCACAAACCCATTGTACCTTCTTGTAAATAATAATAATAATTATTATTGTGTGTAATGAAAGAGGTAGGAGTTGGTGTGGCTGGCCCGAGTCTCTAAACTCGCCCACATTACGTGACCAAAGTTCATGAATATCATATTACAATTATTATACTTCATAGTGTATAATATATATTATTTTTCAATATATTCATAAAAATCTATTCACATTTTGGTGTGTGTGTGTGTGTGTATACATGAGAAGTGTGTGTGTGTGTGTGTGTTGTGTAGAGCGGTGTGTTGGTGAGAGCAGCATGGCGGCCGTGTGTTGATAGTCTGGTGGTCCTGGTCCTCGTGTACACTTCGCTCCCTCTGCCTCTTCTCCTCCTCCTCCCGGTTGTCTTCAAGTGGCGAAACTGAGCGTCTCCGCCACACACACACCTCGCCACCGTCTCTGCCGCAGTAGTGTAGGGTTGTAAGGAGAGTAATGGCGCAGCAGCTAGCCGGCCTCTTCACCAGAGTGGGGCAGATTGGCTTCGGTGTGGCTGTCGTCGGCGGCGTCGTCAACTCTGCTCTATACAATGGTCAGTGTTGGGGGGGGATTGACGTCTCTGCCGGGATTGACGTCTCGGCCGTGATTGACGGCTCGGCCGGGATTGACGGCTCGGCCGGGATTGACGTCTCGGCCGGGATTGACGGCTCGGCCGGGATTGACGTCTCGGCCGGGATTGACGTCTCGGCCGGGATTGACGTCTCGGCCGGGATTTACGAGTTACTGGTGAATGTTTCGGAATAAAACTGACAGCTGATGTATGACGATTAATTTTCTTGTGACTAAGGGTTAGAGCCGGGGTGTGCTGTAGTTGAGCACACTGCGACTGTAATGCTGAGGTGACTTTAAGAGTAGGAACTGTTCCTTGTTCTGGAGGCGTGTTTGGTGGCTACCTTGCCATGAATTCTGGGCTCAACTTCCTCGCGGCCCGGTCCTTGACCGGGCCTCTTGGTTGCTGGACTGGTCAAGCAGGCTGTTGGATGTGCCTGGTCACAGCCTGATGTATGAATAACAGCCTAGTTACTCAGGTATCAACCAGGCTGGTACACAGGACACCCAACTATGATGGGGCAACTGTAGTAAAATGACCACACCTAAATGAGTGTACCTGTTTGGGTACTGTGTATTTATTAAGCTATCTTGAGATGATTTCGGGGCTTTAGTGTCCCTGCGGCCCGGTCCTCGACCAGGCCTCAACCCCCAAGAAGCAGCCCGTGACAGCTGACTAACACCCAGGTACCTATTTTACTGCTAGGTAACAGGGGCATAGGGTGAAAGAAACTCTGCCCGTTGTTTCTCGCCGGCGCCCTGGATCGAACCCCGGGACCACAGGATCACAAGTCCAGCGCGCTGTCCGCTTGGTCGACCAGCTCCCAAGCTATGCATGGTAATGGCCGAGAACACTGCTGTGCACAAAAAAAAATTAAAGAATTATTTTTCTAATATTAAAATGCATTCCCCGATCAATGGTAAAATTTAAAAAATCGTATGTGACATTATGGCCGTGATAGAGCAAGAAAATCTGGCATGATAGAGGCACTGGCGTGACACGTGGCCGGGGTAGTCAGCTGCAGCCAAGCTGTGTGGCAGGAGTTGCCACCAAGATGACATTACCTATTTATTTTTGTCTCCAATTAGGGTTTTTCAGTAATATTATTCAATAGTGTGTAATTTAATGAATTATATACCGGTCGGTGTAGGTCGGTAGGGAGCCGGTCGGCCGAGCGGACAGCACACTGGACTTGTGATCCTGTGGTCCTGGGTTCGATCCCAGGCGCCGGCGAGAAACAATGGGCAGAGTTTCTTTCACTCTATGCCCCTGTTACCTAGCAGTGAAATAGGTACCTGGGTGTTAGTCAGCTGTTACGGGCTGCTTCCTGGAGGTGGAGGCCTGGTCGAGGACCAGGCCGCGGGGACACTAGAAGCCCCGAAATCATCTCAAGATAACCTCAAGATACTTAGATAAGTGGAACATTGCCATATTGAAAAATGTTGCTAATATCTAGTGAAACATTATATTCTTTGTTCAATCAAAATGTGTTTTTACTGTACACTATATGCTCACATTGTATATAACTTGCTACATTTTTTTGTGCACCATAATGAACCACAAACTTCGTATGGTGTGTCCAAACAGCATAGCAGATACCAGTCAGCAGATGACACAACCTCACTCGGCAAGATACCTCCTCCCAAGATATTACACACATTACAGAGCACCACTTGGTTTCCGAACTTTAGTTATCCAAAACTTCCAGTTTCCCGATTGGGGTTGGGGAGTCATGCTACACGAACAAAGTTCGGATAGGAAGCGGTCCGCCAAGCGTCGCGCCGGCCCGTGGTGATGGGTGGGAGATGGTCCAGTTTGCCGCCTTCTACCCTGTGATTTCACAGATTCACGGCCTATTATTCCTATTATTTTGATTTGTCACGAGGCTGGAGAGTTCATTCTGTAATTTTGTTTTACATATCTGCACAATCAAGGAACATCTGTGCACCATGTCGGCTCCAAATGCACGCATTGTGTCAGTGATGGCTGACTGGTGGGTGGATGGATGGGGGAGCTTAGATGGAAGGCAGTATGAGAGAGAGAGGGAGAATTAGTGAGAAAGGGAGGGGGAGGTAGGCAGGAACGAAGTAGTGAGGGGGGGCATGGGAGAATTAGGGAGGGAGGGAAAGGCAGGCAAGCAGGCTGGCAGGGATTGGCACAGGCAGGCAGGCAGAGAGGCTGGCTGGCTGTTAGGCAGGCAAGCAGGCTGGCAGGGATTGGCACAGGCAGGCAGAGAGGCTGGCTGGCTGTCAGGCAGGCAGACTGGCTGGCAGGGAGGGAGGGAAAGGCAGGCAAGCAGGCTGGCAGGGATTGGCACAGGCAGGCAGAGAGGCTGGCTGGCAGGCAGGCAGGCAGGCAGGCAGGCTGGCTGTCAGGCTGGCTGGCTGTCAGGCTGGCTGGCTGGCAGGCTGGCTGGCTGGCTGGCAGGCAGACTGGCTGGCTGGCTGGCTGGCTGGCAGGCAGACTGACTGGCAGGCAGACTGGCTGGCTGGCTGGCTGACAGGCAGGCAGGCAGGCTGGCAGGCTGGCTGGCTGGCTGGCTGGCTGGCTGGCTGCCTGGCTGCCTGGCTGCCTGGCTGCCTGGCTGCCTGGCTGCCTGCCTGCCTGCCTGCCTGCCTGCCTGCCTGCCTGCCTGCCTGCCTGCCTGCCTGCCTGCCTGCCTGCCTGCCTGCCTGCCTGCCTTCCTTCCTTCCTTCCTTCCCCTCCCTCCTTAAATCTCCCATTCTCCCTCCTAGCATCTCCCCCTACCTTCCCCTCCCTCCCATTCTCACTAATTCTCCCCCCCCCCCCCCCCTCTGTTGGTGGAGTGGTGAGGGAGGCAGTAAGGAAGGATTTGCTGACCAGGCGATGGTTGCCAAACTTATCGCCCATATTGTATTACAAATTTTAATCTTGGTTGTAAAATATTTATGCCAAAATATGTTAATTTTCATATATTTACATTATTAATCATTAACATGTTATATGATTTCCTATTTATTAATTAAACAAATATAGTTTTATTTATGAATTATGCACAGTTGGCATCTGTGAGCAGGCGCTGACAGACATGTCTGCCTCTACACAGCCTCCACCTCGTTAGTAGGTCCCCCTCCTCCAGAGCCAGCTGTTCTCGTGTTATGAGGAAGGCAGTGAGGGGGAGAGGCAGTGAGGGGGAGAGGCAGTGAGGGGGAGAGGCAGTGAGGGGAAGAGGCAGTGAGGGGAAGAGGCAGTGAGGGGAAGAGGCAGTGAGGGGAGGAGGCAGTGAGAGAGAGAAGCAGTGAGGGAGGGAAGGGTGGGGGTGAGTGAACGCATTTACACAATGAACTTTATTTCATTTGTTACATTTATGCTCTGAATGTCAATTTTTTCCCTTAGAATTTTTTGTTAAATTTAAAAAAAAATTCTGTCCATTTTCCTCCATTCTCGTTAACGAACTTAAACGATAACTGACGAGTCTCGTCCCCAAGGGGTTCGGAAACCAAGTGGTGCTCTGTACTAATTCTAGGCACATTGCTGCTACCCCAGTATCCACTCAATTTAAGGACCTCTTATTTACCGTTATGCTGGTTCTAAAGACGGATTTTTAGGTCGTTAACTGGTGTCTTAATTACAGTCATTGGCCGTTAAATCCGAAATATGGTATTGAGTTTAGAGTCCAGTACGTGTTAAACTGGAGGCCAGTATTGTGTTGCTGGGACAACCTTGCCCTCGCTAGGCCAGTAGTTACATTTTCCGTTCACAGATTTCACTGCTTCTGTTATGCAGCATGAAGTCAGAGCTAGTCAGTCACAGCTGCTGGTGGAATAATAATCGTGGTACAGTATTTACCATTTTTTTGGGGGGGGGGAGCCCCATTGGCTCACCGGAGCTATCCAGGCTGTGTATTAGCTTTCTGGCATCAAAGTGCATGGAGTTCTTGCCTACCGGGGACCATGAGCCAGAAACTGGCCCCCCCTCAAAGAGGCACGAGGAGCAGTGGCCTATAGAAATCCCCCATGTGGTTGGAAGCATTCTGTCCGCCAATCGACCTGGTCTTGCTCCCAGAAAGGTAGGCGCCCCAAAGCAAACCCCTATTCTGGTGAAAATATTGCTACCGAAAGCTGAACGAGTGGACAGAACTCCCGACGAAAATTAGCAAACGATCATGACGTCATCACGTTGCCGCGCCGATGTCTGCGCAATCCCCTTCCCCGGGAGGCAGAAGGGGGAGATCCAGACCCTCGTGCCAGCAATCCAACCAGCAGTTCTTGGATGATGTGATACTGGCTGGTTGGATGCCTCTGGCTCCAGTTTTTTTCTGTTCCTGTGCCTTGGTCTGTCTCTACAGGTGGTGTGTGAGCCAGGAGAAATATTTTGTGGTACTCGGGCTGCATGAACCTAGGGTTTCCTTCCCTAGGTACCCTGTAAGTACTTCCTTTGGGGTTTAGGGTCACCTTCCACAAGTCACCCTGGGGCCTGCCTCCGCTGTGTCTTTTACTGCTCGGTACTAGGCCGCCCTTGGAGTCATCTGGGGTTTTTGTTGCCCTTGTTTGTCTCTGGGTAGGAGGTAGTTTTCATTACTGGTAGGGGCATAGGGTACTGCACAGCTAGTTTTCACCTATTACAGCAGCCGGCTCTGTTCTGCGTGGGTACGTTGTCCTTTTGCAGGGTTTTTCTTTTGTTTTGTTTCCCTGCTTGGTGGGGGGGGGGGAGAAGGATCTGCCTTTGGTTGGTTGCCCCTATTTTACTTGGGGGTCTTTCCCTAGAGATCTATGTTCTTGGTGGTACCCTCTGCTTGGCACCCATGAGTGGACACGTCCCAGGGGTCCAGCTTGAAAAGTTTGTTCGGTAGTTTTGGGGTGCCGGTTCACAGCACCCTGCCTAGGCTTTCCTTAGCGTGACACCAAGGCTAACGGCCCTGGGAAAACTCACGGGGGCTCAGTGGTTCGATGGATGCTACCCTTAAGTCCTCTCTCACTTTGTGCGAGGTTGATGATTGCTCTGTCCCCTTGTCTCGGGGTTACAATCACTGGTTGTGCCTGCTGCCTGTCGGGTTGGTGATTCTTTTGAGCCGGAGTCGTGTGATGTTTGTTCCTTGCACATGCTCCAGTTCACCCAAGCTACTGAACATGTGTGGGTGCAGGCAGCAGAGGCATTGCATATGCAGTTTAGGTTGCTGCAATGCTATAGGGGTGTTGCTTCCCCAGATGACCGAGGCTGCCCTATCTTGGTTTTAGGGACCCGGACTTGGGGGTGGAAGTCGGTTCGACTCTGGTTCCGTCTGCTCCCTCCTTGTCCTTCGCCTTCGGTGGTTCATTCATTTAACCCCCTTCTTTGCTGCCGGCTCGAAAACATCTTGAGGATTTCAGAAGCTGGGCAGGATCTAATTGGTGTTGAAACTCGGGCAGTCTCGGGGGAGTCCCCTTCCGGGGTTGCGGCAGAGGCATTCGAGCCTTGTCCTCCAGCTGGAGCTTCTGGGTCTGACCAGTGGGCCCTCTTTGTTCCTGCCTTTTCTTTAGAAGGGGGGGGGTGTAGAGGACGGCTCGGCCCCGGGTCCTCGGGGTGAGGTTCCTGGGGCGGGTGAGTGGTTGACTTGGGGGGGGGGGGGCCCTTGGGCCGTGTTGGACCCCACCTGTGTTTTTGTACTCTCGGAGCAGGGCTTGGTGTTACAAGGAGAGGGGTTCTCTTTCACTCCCTCTTCGCACAAATTGGATCTGGCATATACCCCTCCCCTGTCCTCTATCCCCCCTACCCCTGTCAGGGAAGCCGGTCGGCCGAGCGGACAGCACACTGGACTTGTGATCCTGTGGTCCTGGGTTCGATCCCAGGCGCCGGCGAGAAACCATGGGCAGAGTTTCTTTCGCCCTATGCCCCTGTTACCTAGCAGTAAAATAGGTACCTGGGTGTTAGTCAGCTGTCACGGGCTGCTTCCTGGGGGTGGAGGCCTGGTTGAGGACCGGGCCGCGGGGACACTAAAGCCCCGAAATCATCTCAAGATAACCTCCCCGGGTTTGGTTCCGTGATCCCGTGGGTTCCTCGTGTAACGGGGGGGTGGGGGAAATAGAATGACGAGTAAGTAGAAAGTGAGTAGAAGTAGAAGAGGTAGAAGGGTAGATGAAGAAATGCTGCCACCATCCATTCTAGACCATTACATACAAGACAAGGAATGGAACTTGTCTGTATCACAAAATTCTCAAAGACGTTAACATGAGGTCATTATTAGTCTGTTCCATCTGTATCGTGTACTCATTAAAATCATGAACCCAGTAACCGCAGAGGCTTTCTCACCTCAACTCAAAAACTCTAGGGAACAAAGTTAAAGACAATTTAAACAATAAATTCATCAATTATATTTTTCAGGATAAGTATCATAATTTGAGCCATTCAACTTAATGTTCAAGATTAATATACAAAGTGAGTCATCATCCAAGAATTCGAGAACACTACAACTTGACTGCCCCTGATCCTCACACAACACTTGTATACACGACCAAGTCACCTTAATGTTTTCAACTCGCCAAGTGTCTTGTTGTAATCCACAAGTTAGTAGGAATTATTAGCTAGAGGATCATTACTACAACACTTAACGAATGATGATTGGAAGTACATGTTAAGTAGACAGACTATGGATCACATATCTAAGAAAGGTCAATGGATTAAGACCGAAGCTGTTTAGCCAAATTAATAATTCCTGGAAAGAGGAATTATTCTTCGTCAGGCTTCTAGGATCAAGGTTACCGCTCTAGGGATAAGGTTAATCGGATTATACCTTCCTTGAGAGGCGTGGTGAAATGTTTGAGGCCATGGTTGGCTAAAGTCAGTCTGATTGTGGGAGTTGAACTTAGAAGTCCTCTGGATCCCCGTTTGTGGCAGCAGCGAAGTGTAGCAGACAGCTATGTGAGAACCTGATGTGATCTTAGTGACCAAGTTAAGTCGGCAGTATGTGAGTATTGAATGAAAGACTAACTGGGTGTGGAGCGTTGTAGTAATCATTCCGTATTAGGGACTTAGGCGGAAGTTAAGAGTGTGGGTGGTGATCTCGGAGGTCAAGTGGTCTATGGGTATTGGAAGTGTATTGACCTAATAGAGTATGTTAATATGTATTTATTTGTCAGTCTGTTCTTTGTAATTAAATGACAAAACCCGACGGCCTTTAAATACCTTCCATATGTTCATTCATTGTGTTCCAGTACAAACCGAGTGGTACGCCTCAAGGGTCTGGTGTGTGTAGGAGTATAGGTGGTAGTAACGGTTGCTGAGGCAAGGTGTTATGTGTTGTGTATTCGCTGTGTTCGGAATGAACCGGGGTTCAGCGTCACGACAGTCTGCCTATAGCTGGATAGAGAGGGAGGGAGGGAGGGGGGGGAGTCTGCAGTTGTCAGGCAGCGTCACCCCCCGTCCGGCGACAGCCTATCTCGACGGCTGGCCTCTGCTCTCCTCTGCTGGCTGGTCTCCTATTGCTTCTCCGTGCTCTGCTCTCCGAGTATATATTGGGGAACCTAGTAGCTAACTCCGCCCACAAGTAGATAGCCCGAGGCTCTCTACGAAACCACTCCTTAAACGTCGGCATGTTTGAAGGTCACTTATCAGATTAGCAGAAGCAAGGTGAAATTTGCATGATCTGACCTCAGGTCACTTGAGGCCATTAACGCTTAGAGGTGTGAATTTCAGGTCGACAAACTGGTGCCTCTCAGATCCTTGTCTGTGACTCATGAACTATATATATTTTTAAATAAAACTAAACCAAACACCATTACGGTGTTACATTCGGTCTCATCCTTCCAGAGGTTTTTGGCTTCCCACGTCCCATCTCATGTGGTACGGGAAGCCCTTGCAGCTTACATCCTGTGTGACTTGGATTATGCTTGTGTGATGGACCCGCATTCCTTCGTATATGGATCTTCGTGTCTGTACTGGGTTCGTTATGAAGTTCCAGAGTCGTCCTGGTTGGCAGACTGCCTGCTTTTCTCGTTGGAGGCTTGGCACACATTCTGTTGGACCCGCCTGCTCAAGTGGAAGGAAGCTCAGACTGATTTGCAGGTTTTCCTGGGGGGGGGGCGAATTTAAACATCTCGATGTACAGGGGTACCTCGGTTTAAGAGTTTAATCCATTCCTAGAGACGGCTCGTATTCCGAAAACTCGTATTCCGAAGCTAATTTCCTCATAAGAAATAATGGGAAATGAATTAATCCGTTCCTGACTACCCCAAACACCCCACATCAAACTAAATTTTTATACCTAATTCATCTAAATAAACCTACAAAACTATGTTCAAGTTATTACTTACCTTGCTGTTGAATGCTGTAGGCGTATGGAAGATGGTGAGGAGAGGAGTTACTGTTTGGAAGGGGAGTCCCCTTCCATTATCACATCAGGCAGTGAGGACCTTTCTGGTGTGCACTCCCTGGCACGTTTTATCTGAGTGCCACTAGGTCCTGGTTGTGGCTCACTGCTCGATTTTCTCACCACAATTCTGTCCATGGAAGCTTGCTTTTCCCTTCTTTGCAAGCTGTCTCTGTAGTAAGGCATCACATTGTCATTGAAAAGATTAAGGCAACGGCCTACTACAGCTTTCTCTGGGCGAGTCTTTTCAATAATTGTTTGAATCTCTTCCCACATCTGACACACCTTCCTAATTTCTGCAGAAGGGACATTCACTACTGCCTCATCCTCCTCCACTGTAGAATCATCAGCTGCGTTGTCTTGCTGTTCCTGTTGAAGAGCTTGGAGTTCTTCGGTGGTCAGTTCTTCATTGTGTTCTTCCACCAACTCCTCCACATCATCATCATCCAATTCCAAGCCCATTTGCCGGCCCACAGTAACAATTTCCTCAACAATAGGTGCATCATTTACAGGTTCAAACCCCTCAAAGTCTAGTTCTCTCACACATTCAGGCTACAATTTTCTCCAGCCAGGGATCAGGGTTCTTTGAGTCACTTCTTGCCAGGCTTTGTCAACGAGTTTTAAAGCACTACAAATGTTAAAATGCTGTTTCCAGAGAGTGAGGTTTGTGGCTTCAGTCACTTCAAAACATTTCTGGAAAAGTGCCCTTTCATAAAGTTTCTTAAAATTCACTATGATTTTCTGGTCCATAGGCTGAAGGAGTGGTGTTAGGAGGAAGGAATTTAACTGTGAGGAATTTATTGTATCTGGGCAACAAATCATCTTCCAAGCCTGGAGGATGAGCAGGAGCATTGTCGAGGAGAAGCACGGCTTTGAGTGGCAAATGTTTCTCCTGCAGATATTTTTCTATGGCAGGGCACACCACTTCATTCACCCACTCCGAAAAAATAAGCCTAGTCACCCATGCTTTTTTATTAGCCTTCCACATCACACACAAATGGGTTTTCTGCACTTTATACTGTTTGAAAACCCTTGGATTTTCAGAATGATACACTAGCAAGGGTTTAATTTTCAAATCGCCACTCGCCTTTGAACACAGCACAAGGGTAAACCTATCTTTCATAGGCTTGTGTCCGGGCAAGGATTTTTTCTCCTTGGTAATGTATGTCTTCTTAGGCATTCTTTTCCAAAACAGTCCTGTTTCGTCACAATTAAACACTTGTTGCGGTAGGTATCCCTCAGCCTCTGCAAACTCTTTAAATTCCTCAATAAATCGTCCAGCGGCTGGTTTGTCTGAGCTGGCTGCCTCCCCATGCCTTGTAACACTATGGATACCACTTCTTTTTATAAATTTTTCAAACCAGCCCCTGCTTGCCTTAAACTCTTTCTTATCTGCATCACTCGTTGCAGGGGTCTTCTTTAGAAGGTCTTCGTGCAACACCCTGGCTTTCTCACAAATGATGACCTCCGAAACACTATCACCCCTTAATTCCTTGTCGTGTATCCAAATTAATAACAACTTTTGCACTTCAAGTATTTGTGGTCTTTGTTTCGTCATTGTTCTTACTCCTTTTGCCACTTTAGCACTCATAATCTCATTTTTCTTCTTAAGTATAGTGCATATCGTTGACGTGGCTTTGTTGTACTGCCTACAAAGTTCAACAACGTGTACTATTCTCATGCTTCCGAATGATCTCTTGTTTCTCCTCTATTGTCATCCTCACATGGGCTTTCTTGCCTTGATCCTTACCACTGGCTTTCTTGGGACCCATGGTGAGCTATATAATAACAAATTGTATAGTCAAATGACCAAAAATCCAACAAAACACTGAAAATCCGGATGAATAATTGATGTGGGATAGTCATTGGGCGCGAGACAATGGTAAACTGAGGGGCGGAGGGGCGACGATCGCCGTACCACCACGCGCTAGGTCGCCCTGAACGCGTATCAACAAACTCGCGTTCCGAGGTAACCCTCGCCTTCCGAGACACATTTTCCGAGGAAATCCTGCTCGTATTCCGAAAAACTCGTATACAGGGACACTCGTATTCCGAGGTACCACTGTGTGTTTGTTTGCCTCTGCCCTTCCACGGGATGTTAGTGTGATGCAGCTTCATGTGTAGGTTCCTTGCCTTTCGGCTGCCTTGGTCGCGGAGGATTTGCATACACGTGGCCTACTAACTTCGACCCTGCATTTCTTCTCCCTCCTCCCTCAAGCTGTCCTTGGATTGGCCTAAGTTGGATGTGGAGGAGCTTGAGACCGCCTCTGGGTCTGGTTTATTGCCCTCGGCGGTGCGTGTGTTGTCTGCATTTTTGCTCTGTTCGCTCGTGCCTGGTCTCACGATTTGTGGGCCTTTCGGGTCGTTTCGTGCGGCCTGCAGTGGTGTTGGGTGGCTCCTCCTCCTTTGGGGGGTTCGGGGCAGGACTTCTACTGCTCTGTAGTCATCTCGGAGTGGGTTTGCTTGGGCGAGCCATGTCTTTGGTGGGTTTCCCACCTGTTTCCGGGCCCAAAATGGGACTGTGCAGACCTCCAGTTCTTTCTGGACTTGTCTTGTCTGAACCCATGGGTTTATTGCCCCCCCCCCCCCCTCCCTCCTTTCAGACGACTACTCTGTCCCAGGTCTGTCTTCTGTTGGAGCTGGGTGCTTGGATGATGTCCCTGGACCTCATGGATGCATATTAGGACGTCAAGGTTACTGCTTTCATTGCCTTCTATATGGCTTGAATCTGGCACCTCGCGTTTTCACATTCCTTACTCGGGTCGTGGTGACCCGCCTGCGTCTGTTAGGTGTTTGGGTTCTGCCCTACCTCGACGACTGGCTGGTTTGGGCTCCCAGCCAGTCAGTGTCTCTGCTCGCCAGGGCTTTGGTTCTTTCCTAGCTCGCTGGGTTTGGATTCTTGGTGAACTGGCGGAAGTCCTGTTAGGTTCACCCTCAGGTTCGGTCTTGGCTGGATTTTGTGTGGGACGCTCGGGCCGCTTCCTTGTCTCTACCTCCAGCGGCTCTGCTTCGCCTGCGTTCCTGCCTTCGTCTGTTCCTGAGGGACTCCTGAGTCATGCGGCGGTTGCTCGAGGGTTTGTGCGGGAGCCTGAACTTTGCCATGATGGTCTACCCACCGGGTCAGATGTGGCTTCGTCAGCTGTTCTGGGTCCTTTGGGGTCCTTGTCCTGAGGTCCAATGCCCTTCCACCTCTCTCACAACCACTGGGTTTGGCCTTCAGGGGTTTTGTGTCAGGCTGCTGCATCGCGAGCTTCCTCTTTAGGTTTTTCGGGATTCGGTGTCTTGGCACCTACCCGAGCCCTCGCTCGATGTGTTTGCGGATGCATCGTCTCTGGGTTGGGGCTTTGTGACCAGTTCTCACCAGGCTGGCTAGGGACGCTGGGGTCCGTCCATCCGTTGGCCTCACAGCACAGAGTGGGAGTTCACGGCTGTGTAGATGTTGCTCCGGAGGGTTTGTGTCACTCGCGAATCGACAATCCAGCTTCATTCAGATTGTTCCCCGGTGGTTCGTTGCCTGAACCACGGGTCAGATTGTTCCCCGGTGGTTCGTTGCCTGAACCACGGGGGTTTGATGTGGTTCTTGACTTTTTGCGGCTGGTTGCTTCGGGTAACTCATCTGCTGAATTCTCGGGGTTTAGCTCTCTGGCGGTTCACGTTTAGGGAAGTGTCCAATGTCCTGGCGGACGGCCTGTCCTGGTTCATTTAACAATTCCCGGCCTGTCCCCGGTTCATTCAACTGTCCATTCATGTGGTTGACGCCAACTCATTCAGTTAGCTCTGCCAGACGTTCGGTCCTCCAGAAGTGGATCTTTTCACGTCGGCGTGTAACCCCCACCTCGCCCAGGCCTGCCCTTCAGGCAGGACTGGGCGAGGTGGGGTTACCTGTAACTCTTTTCCCCTGGTTAAGCTGTTTCTCCAGGTCCTGGCTCGCTTAGAGACTTACCAGGGGCAAGTTGTCTTTCTTGTTCCTTCGTCGCCAGCTCAGTCTTGGTTTCAGGCGCTGCTTGCTCGGTGTCCGAACCCCGAGAGTCTCATGCGACTCCACTTCTTTCAACAGATCAGTTCAGCTAGTGACGAGGCTGGTTCATTCTTCTCCTCGAGTCTTCACATCTAGCACTTGACTCGAGTCTATCATCACTTGCATGAGGCACAGGTGGCTTCGTTGTTGGTCTCCCACCTATGTTATCCGTCTTGGCGGCAGTATGAAATTTCCTGGCAGTCCTTCCAGTTTTACCTATCACTGTGTAGGTGTACTTCGGTCTCTGGTAGGGTTATTTTGTCTTTTGTGGTTGTTCCAGGACCGTCATCTTATGCCGAATACTGTCGCCTCATATTGTGCAGCACTGGCAGGGCCACTCCAGCTTGTGTTTGGTGTTGATGTTACTTCTGTTTTGTTCCGCAAGCTGTCTCGTGCGTTGTTTCACCTCCGGCCTGTTCATGCGCCTCCTGAGCCGTCCAGGTCTTTGGATTGGGTTCTCTCTTTTCTTTCTTCTCAGTTTGTTGTAGCTCCTTCGGTTCAGGATTTTTTCTAAGGCTTCTTTTCCTGTTGGCCTCTGGTAAGGTCTAAGGTAAGGCCTCTGTGGGGTCAGAATGGGGAGCTTCATGCTCTCCTGCACAGGGGTTTCTGCTCCTTTGGTCCTGGTGGTTGCAGCCGTCTCCTTTTCTAGTGAAGAATGAGACTGCTGCTTTCCAGAGGGGTCATTGGGTTGTTGATGCTTGGTTGACCAGGCCGGGGGCACATCATGTGTTGTGTCCGGTTGCGGCTCTCCGACATTTGCGCGCCACGGATTCAGTGGCCGGGGATGCGCATTGGGTTGACCTGGTTTCCCTTCTTCCCTGTTCCTGGGCTTGGGTCTCTCGGGTCATCTGCAGGGTTATCAAGCCTGTGGTCTATCCCGTGCCCACGATGTTCGTAAGTTTGCTGCTTTGGCGGCCGTCTTTGGCAACATGTCTTGGGTTGACATTCGGCTGTGGGTTTTTTGGAGGTGGAACAGGGTCCTGGCCGCTTGCTACCTTGTCAATATCCCTTGATCTGGTAGGGCCTGCGTTGCATTGGGTCAGCAGTTGCAGCCAGTTATCTCGACTTCACATGGAGGAGTGAGGACTGGCTGCCTCCTGGGTAAGTCTTGTATTTTTCCTTGTCTGTGAAGTTAGCTCCAGAGAGCCGACGGGGCTCCCAGGATGGGGGGAGCTGTGCAGACGGCGACGTGGTGACATGACGTCATGCTCTTTTGCTTGTTTTTGTTTGGGGAGTTCTGTCCACTAGTTTGGCTCTCAGTAGCCATTTTTTAACCAGAATAGGGGGTTTGTTTTGGGATGCTTACGTTTGTGGGTGCGTGACCCAGTTGATGGCCGACATAGAATGCTTCCAACATAAGGGGTTTCTATAGGCCATTGCTCCTCGTACCTCTCTTGAGGGGGCCAGGTTCTGGCTCGTGGTCCCTGGTAGGCCTAAAAAACTCCATTCACACTGATGCCAAAGTTTAATACTGTCTCCACTCGATTATCCGGACTATATGGGAAGGGCCCACCCCCCAGCCGGATAATCACGTGTTCCGGATAATGGTACTTTATCACCCGAGTCCAAAACTAACCATTTCCAATTATTTTTATACTACAAACAACATACTTTAATTTGAATTGCCTTGCCCCATATAATTATTAAATATTCAACTAGAAACCTCAACTTATCTTGTTGTTCGTCTTCTTGATTGATGCCACACATCTTGAAGTTAAGAATTCTTAACAATTTACATAACCTATACTAACACAACACTAAAATTAGCACTTAAAATTACTGTACAGTTCATTAAGTAAAGTTAGTTTTGACTGCCAGCTGCTGAAGCCTCACTGGTTGAAGGCACTTGGCTTGCCTGTGACGCCTCACTTGTTGAAGGCGCTGGGCTTGCCTGTGACGCCTCACTTGTTGAAGGCTCTGGGCTTGCCTGTGACACCTCACTTGTTGAAGGTGCTGGGCTTGCCTGTGACGCCTCACTTGTTGAAGGCGCTGGGCTTGCCTGTGACGCCTCACTTGTTGAAGGCGCTGGGCTTGCTTGTGACGCCTCACTTGAAGGTGCTGGGCTTGCCTGTAACGCCTCACTTGTTGAAGGCGCTGGGCTTGCCTGTGACGCCTCACTTGTTGAAGGCTCTGGGCTTGCCTGTGACACCTCACTTGTTGAAGGCGCTGGGCTTGCCTGTGACACCTCACTTGTTGAAGGCGCTGGGCTTGCCTGTGACACCTCACTTGTTGAAGGCTCTGGGCTTGCCTGTGACACCTCACTTGTTGAAGGCGCTTGCCTGTGACGCCTCACTTGTTGGGCTTGCCTGTGACGCCTCACTTGTTGAAGGCGCTGGGCTTGCCTGTGACGCCTCACTTGTTGAAGGCGCTGGGTTTGCCTGTGACGCCTCACTTGTTGAAGGCGCTGGGCTTGCCTGTGACGCCCCACTTGTTGAAGGCGCTGGGCTTGCTTGTGACGCCTCACTTGAAGGTGCTGGGCTTGCCTGTAACGCCTCACTTGTTGAAGGCACTGGACTTGCCTGTGACGCCTCACTTGTTGAAGGCGCTGGGCTTGATTTTCTTACCATATAAGAATCAAGTTTAGCTTACCTTCAGTGTTCATTGGCCTGTTGTATGATCAGCTCTTTGGTTCGCCTCAGGCTTCACTTCACTTGAAGTCGACCGGCCATTTTCACAAAGTTGTATAACATGTAACTTGTCTTCAATTGTTAGGACAACCTTCTTCCTCTTAACACTTCCAGAACGACTGATGCTGCTACCAGACAGTCTTGGCCAAAAATGTTCAAAGTTACTATGAAAATAAAAGTAAAAAAGTTATTTAAAAAAATATTTCACTAATGGCGCAGCACTGTGGTATAACACGAGGGACGGGAGTACATGGGTTGACCATTGTTGGATAGGTCCACTTGGGGCAGCTATAACATGTTACGTAGGCTGCCAGGAGGAAAAAACTCACAATATTTTTGAAGGAAACTTCAGCCTGTGCAAATTGTTTTTAGGAAACTTATATATTTGTTATTACATACTGTAATTACTAGTATTTTTGTTTTTGGCTATAATGAATTGTTCTAAAATTAATGGTAATTCCTGTACCCAGGTGGTCCCTCCCAACGCTCCCCTCTCCCTTGACACGACCCACCCACCCCACCCCCTCCTCCACCATGCGCCTCGAGCCAGCCAGCCACAGCCAGACGGGATTATCACGGTACGGCCCGCCCCATGGCTTTCATATCCGGACAGTTCAATGATTATCTGGCTGACTGACCGGATAGTGTAACATCGGCGGCAAGTTAACCGGCTCCGATTTTTTATCTGGCTCCCATGCCCATTTTGGCCGGGTATTGAGAACTTTATCTGGTCACGATTTTGGCCGTATAAAGGCGTTTTCCGGATGTTCGAATCCCGGATAATCAAGTGTCTACGGTACTTGTCCCTGTGATGACTGGCAGTAAAGGTTAGTTGAATAAAGGTTACTTGAATAAATAAATGAAGATACCTGCATGTACTGTATTGTGTATCAAGTGGAGTGTCAGTAGGGGAAATGGAAGTGTGTCGGGAGGGGGGATGGGAGTGTGTCGGGAGGGGGGGATGGGAGTGTGTCGGGAGGGGGGGATGGGAGTGTGTCGGGAGGGGGGGATGGGAGTGTGTCGGGAGGGGGGGATGGGAGTGTGTCGGGAGGGGGGATGGGAGTGTGTCGGGAGGGGGGGATGGGAGTGTGTCGGGAGGGGGGGATGGGAGTGTGTCGGGAGGGGAGGGGGATGGGAGTGTGTCGGGAGGGGAGGGGGATGGGAGTGTGTCGGGAGGGGAGGGGGATGGGAGTGTGTCGGGAGGGGAGGGGGATGGGAGTGTGTCGGGAGGGGAGGGGGATGGGAGTGTGTCGGGAGGGGAGGGGGATGGGAGTGTGTCGGGAGGGGAGGGGGATGCGAGTGTGTCGGGAGGGGAGGGGGATGCGAGTGTGTCGGGAGGGGAGGGGGATGCGAGTGTGTCGGGTCGGGGGAGGGGGATGCGAGTGTGTCGGGAGGGGAGGGGGATGCGAGTGTGTCGGGAGGGGAGGGGGATGCGAGTGTGTCGGGAGGGGAGGGGGATGCGAGTGTGTCGGGAGGGGAGGGGGATGCGAGTGTGTCGGGAGGGGAGGGGGATGCGAGTGTGTCGGGAGGGGAGGGGGATGCGAGTGTGTCGGGAGGGGAGGGGGATGCGAGTGTGTCGGGAGGGGAGGGGGATGCGAGTGTGTCGGGAGGGGAGGGGGATGCGAGTGTGTCGGGAGGGGAGGGGGATGCGAGTGTGTCGGGAGGGGAGGGGGATGCGAGTGTGTCGGGAGGGGAGGGGGATGCGAGTGTGTCGGGAGGGGAGGGGGATGCGAGTGTGTCGGGAGGGGAGGGGGATGCGAGTGTGTCGGGAGGGGAGGGGGATGCGAGTGTGTCGGGAGGGGAGGGGGATGCGAGTGTGTCGGGAGGGGAGGGGGATGCGAGTGTGTCGGGAGGGGAGGGGGATGCGAGTGTGTCGGGAGGGGAGGGGGATGCGAGTGTGTCGGGAGGGGAGGGGGATGCGAGTGTGTCGGGAGGGGAGGGGGATGCGAGTGTGTCGGGAGGGGAGGGGGATGCGAGTGTGTCGGGAGGGGAGGGGGATGCGAGTGTGTCGGGAGGGGAGGGGGATGCGAGTGTGTCGGGAGGGGAGGGGGATGCGAGTGTGTCGGGAGGGGAGGGGGATGCGAGTGTGTGCGGGAGTGTGGGGAGGGGGGGGGATGCGAGTGTGTCGGGAGGGGAGGGGGATGCGAGTGTGTCGGGAGGGGGAGGGGGATGCGAGGGGGATGCGTGTGTGTCGGGAGGGGAGGGGGATGCGAGATGCGAGTGTGTCGGGAGGGGAGGGGGATGCGAGTGTGTCGGGAGGGGGGATGTGAGTGCTTCGGAGGGAAGGGGGATTGGGATATGTCAGGTATTTTGGGATTGGTGTGTTGGGGGGGGGAATTGGAGGGTGTCAGGGGTGATGGTAGTGTAATGGGTTTTTCACCTCTGGTTTGCTTATGCACCGTCTAAGCTGGCTTGGTCATTTGACTGGTTACTCTCTCTTCTCTCCTTCCCTCGGTTTGAGGTGACCCCTTCGGTTCGTGATTGCTTTATGAAAGCCTTGTTTTTGTTGTCTTTGGCCTCTGGGGGTTGTGTTAGGGAGCTTCATGCTCTTCTCTTGATGCCGGGGATCCTGATGCCGCTGGTTCAGGATCAGTGGAAGCCCTCTGGGTGGATCCTGTTTCTTCGGTTACCTGTTCCAGGGCTCAAGTGTCTCAGGTTGTCCGCAGTGTCTTCGAGTCTAGCCAGTCTGCGGTCTACCCTTGTGCCCGTGATTTCCAGAAGTGTGCTGCTCTGGCTGCAGTGTTTGGGAATGTCATGGGTCAACATTCGGGCGTGAGGATTTTTTAGGTCGAACAGGGACCTTGCCGTGTATCTTATGAACGTTCTGAGCCCTCTCCGGCCTTGTGTTACATTGAGCTGTCTGTCGTGGCCTGATGTCTCATCGTCATCTTGAGACCTGCGGTGATGCCGCCTCCCGGGTAAGTCCCTCTTTTACTTATCTGTGGGTAGTTAGCTTTAGGGAGCCGATAGGGTTCCCTACAGAAAACCAGTCTTGAATGTAATAAGACACCATTTTCTGGGTGAGCCCCGGAGGCTCCTTGATACTCTCCCTTTTTCCCCCTCCCTCCATTCGGCATTTTTTCATCCTTCTAGAATTGAAGGGGAGAGCTGTCGGCTCTCCTCAGCCAGCACCCCTCCCATATGCACTAGTTGGATGAGGTGTTGCTTGTTTGTTTGCATTTTGGGGGGGGGGGGGATATTTTGTTTTGTTTGGACGTAGGTTGCATTTATCACCAGCTTGAGGTTTGTATTGTTTTCTGGGTGCCCTCCCAGGTCAGTGGCAAGTATGGCTTAGTCTAAATGTAGAGTGCTCATAGGCTCTTTTGCACAAGGGGGGGAGTAAAACTTTGGCAAAAAATTATAGGCCAGTTGCACTAACATCACACATAATAAAAGTTTTTGAAAGAGTGATTAGGAATCAAATTTCTAGTTTTATGGAAAATAATGAATTACACAACCCAGGACAACATGGATTTAGAGCAGGAAGATCCTGTCTGTCACAGTTACTCAGTCACTATGACAAAATCACAGAAGCCCTAGAGGAAAAGCAAAATGCAGATGTCATATACACAGACTTTGCAAAGGCATTTGACAAATGTGATCATGGAGTGATTGCACACAAAATGAGGTCAATGGGAATAACTGGTAAAGTAGGACACTGGATACTCAATTTCCTGTCGAACAGAACACAAGAGTAACAGTCAATCAAATAAAATCAAGTCCAAGCGCAGTTAAAAGCTCTGTACCTCAAGGTACAGAGCTTGCACCACTACTGTTCCTTATTCTCATATCAGATATAGATAAAAATACAAGTCAAAGCTTTGTGTCATCCTTTGCAGATGACACAAAATTCAGCATGAAAATTACCTCGGCTGAAGACATGGAAAAATTACAAGCAGATATCAATAAATTTTCTATTGGGCAGCAGAAAATAACATGTTTAACAGCGATAAATCCCAGGTACTCAGGTACGGCAAAAATGAGGCCCTGAAACATAATACAGGGTATAAAACACAATCGAATCTGCCCATAATAGGTAAACAGCATGTCAAGGATTTGGGAATAATGATATCCGACGATCTAACGTTTAGGGAGCATAACCAAGCAAATATTGCGCCAGCCAGAAAAATGATAGGATGGATTACGAGAACTTTCAAATCTGGGGATCCCCTCACGATGATTGTACTCTTCAAGTCATTGGTGTTGTCCCGTCTCGAGTACTGCTCAGTACTCGCTTCCCCCTTCAGAGCAGGAGAGATTGCTGAAATAGAGGGAATACAGAGAACATATACGGCACGCATAGATGCGATAAAGTACCTAAATTATTGGGATCGTCTCAAAGCTCTCCAAATGTACTCGCTAGAAAGGAGACGAGAGAGATACCAGATAATATACACATGGGAAATACTGGAAGGCCAGGTCCCTTATCTACACAGTAAAATAACAATGTACTGGAGTGAACAATATGGAAGAAAATGCAGAATAGAACCAGTGAAGAGCAGAGGTGCCATAGGCACAGTCAAAGAACACTGTATAAACATCAGAGGTCCGTGGCTGTTCAACGTCCTCCCAGCGACTATAAGAAACATTGTCAGAACAACCATGGACATCTTCAAGAGAAAACTAGACTGTTTTCTAAAAGACGTTCCGGGCCAACCGGGCTGTGGTGGGTATGTGGGCCTGCGGGCCGCTCCAAGCCACAGCCTGGTGGACCAAACACTCACAAGTCAAGCCTGGCCTCGGGCCAGGCTTGGGGAGTAGAACTCCCAGAACCCCTTCAACCCGGTATCATCCAGGTATAGGCCATTGCACCCTGCGCCTCTCTGGGGGGGATCAGGTTCTTGCTCGTGGTCTCCGGTAGGCATAAATAACTCCCGTGACCAATGACCCAAAACTAATGTCGGACATGTTGTTTTGGATAGTTTCAGGGAGGCTCCGGGGCTCACCCAGAAAATGTTTTTTCCTTGTAGTGCACTAAAGTTTCTGGCATAAAATTTTGTCTGGCTGTTATTGACTCACTGGGCCAGTACCTGGTATCACCTTCTTGATACCTGCTTGATAACCAGGTTCTTTATCTCAATCACTGCTTATGGGGGCCTGAAGGCTGAGTGAACAGCTCTCGGGATTCGTAGTCCTAAGGTTCCGGGTTCGATCCCCAGCGGAGGTGGAAACAAACGGGCAGTTTCTTTTACCCTGATGTACCTGTTCACCTAGCAGTAAATAGGTACCTGAAAGTTACAGCTGCTATGGGCTGCTTCCTGGGAATATGTGTAAAAAAGAAGGCCTGGTTGAGGACTGGGCCGCAGGAACACTAAGCCCCGAAATCATCTCAAGATAACCTTTTAACACTTTCGCGCTCTCGGCGCTCAAAAAAAATCAATACCCCAGATGCTTTCGGCACTTCGCGCGCCTACGCGGTAAGACCGAAAAAGTGTACACTCTTTTGACTGTCCTGACAATAATTGAAGGCGCACGTATTTAAATTTGGTGTCACTGTGTTCGCAATGAAATTGTCTATAAAATGCCGCCCAAGCATAAGGAGTATCAACGCCAAATAAAAAACTATGCAGATCACTCGCCGAGAGCGCCAAACAGCAACAAAATGTTTCCACTCTCTTAATAGTTGCGAAGCCTACAGTTGTCCTACATCGCTAATTTTGGTATCATTGGAATCGCAATAAAATTCTCTACACGGACATGTGCATATGAATGTTTAATATAGGTAATTGCCCACCCGCAAGAGTGTGTGAAGTGGAGAGTAGTTAGCCGCGAGCGCACTGGCGAAAACACGAGGGGGAAATCATGCTTGGAAAGTTTATACATTTATACGTTTCCTGACCCTACTTTTCTATGTACGTATTTCTTTTTTATACCAATGTGTTCGCAATAAAATTTTCTATAAGATGAAATGTATAACATTTGTACAAAGCATGTGTAAGAGAAGCGCCAAATATAGAACCACGTCGCTCAGTATGCGTTCGCGGATTAAACGAACTCATTGTTTTCGTTCGTTTGATGTTTGTCATGTTTATACTTGTTGAAACATTTTATAATTTGTATGACAGTGATCGCAGTAAAATTCCCTACACAGACATATACATAACACATACAAATATTTCCCACGTGTTGGATATATCAACGGCTAAAGGGAACCCACTGCCACACGGCCGCCACACCCAGAGCCACACCCACCCGCCACACCCCCAAACATACTTTGTGTTTTTTTTTTTTTACTCATAGAAGTTTGTGATATAATAATCATTCTGGTACCAAAAAATTCGCAAATAAATTCTCTACAAAACGTATATAATATAACTTCTTATAGATGATAAAAAAATTCCAAATAGGTGTACTTACCCTGTCTATGTTGATTGAAGATCAACAGTTGAGCATTTTTTCTTCACTCCACCATCTTCAGGCTTCTGATCCTGAAGTTGCTCATCTGATGTTTCTTAGGTGGAGTGAAGCTGTTGCCGGTGGTTATTTTTTCTCCACCCAAAATATCTTTCTTCGGTGGTACCTTGTGTAGCAAGGCGCAGCGCACAGTGCCACATCACAAGTTTTACATCCATATATCACGTCCCTCCTTTTGCCAGACTTGAAACAAACACGGCATCTTCTTTTTTTAGCCAAGTGCACGAGTTCATGCGTCAACTTGTAGTTGAGACGTTGTTCTGAATCTATAATTCTTGTATTTCTTGGATGCACTGGAGGAATATTGTCTTCTACAGGAACCACCGAACTTGTAGTAGAATCTTCTATGAAATCAGAAACATCAAGTGGTTCTATGTCCTCAATGTCCATTTCAGAATTTGTGGTTGATGAGTGGGCTTGAGGTGTTGAGGTGAACAGAGGACGCCTCGCACCAGATGGGCTTGGGTGTTGAAACTGCTGCGTCAGCAGGAGGAGCTGCGCTGGCATCTATGTCGGGAACATGTGGTATACCACGTGACCGGGTAGGCCAAGATGCCATGTGTTCGGTGAGGGAGAACGGGAATTTCATGGAGAAAAATCTGAGTATCCCCATCCATTTCGGTTAAAAAATGGAATTTATAGAAATATTTTTTCGATGGACGAGAAAAGTAGGCTGTTATGCGGAATCGTAAGAAAAAACGGCGACGAGTTATCTCTAATCTAAAGCGCGAAAGTGTTAAGATGCGTTTAGTGGCTCTTCTTCATTGATCCCACCCCAAGCCAGTGGTAAGTTATCAAGAAGTGGCAGTAACAAGTAACCGTGAAAAATAAAAATGGGCTAAACAATACTAATCTGCACCTTCACCAATATTATAATATCGCTATATACTGTGTACACATGTACACTGCGAATGCCACTTTCACACAGTACACTAATGCAATAGATTCTGCAGTCTTCTATCCCAGTGAGTCGACTCTATCTTCTGTTATACGTCATCCACGTTCAATGGTCCTCACACTGGCGAGTACGCCCTACTCATAACATGAGCCAGTCCTATACTGTAACATCAGTGTCCAAATACCCAACATCTTCTCTCCAGAAACACGCTGGCAGAGGTCTTCAACACGCTGACAGGGGTCACAAATAACACGTTCAGAGGTCTCTACCAACACCCTGGCAGAAGTATCCAGCAGCACGCTAGCAGAAGTATCCAGCAACACGTTAGCAGAACTTCTCAACATATTGCCAGTACAGTATTGTCATCTTGTAGATCCACTTGGCCAATCCCGGGTACATTGGTCCAACCAATAACACTTCAAAGACAAAGCACTGTCTTTACACAGCGGCCACTTGTCCTACTTGGAACAAGTCGGGTGGACTGCCCTGGGTGAACTGCCTTCTAGAGTACAAGACACCCTCCTTGTCACTTCTGTGGAGATAAGTCATTAGCAAGACAGAAAGTATGCCAGGCTAACATAGGATGACAGACTTTCACCGGGAAACAGAAAATATGATTGGGTGCATGCAATAGATGGCGTTGATATAATCACCTCCCTCACCAGAGGGCATTGTCATCGATCTATCACCTAAATGGGTTATGATCAGGAGCATTCCACAGATGGTACTGACCTTGCCACACCTAAAAGCTTTGGGGTTGTGGTGCACTTCCATATATGGCGTCGATATCGCCACGCTTCACTCCAAAGGTGTTGTTAATATCCTCACACCGGCCTTTGATTTATTTGTTTTATTAAGAAGTACATTGAGTTTATAATGTATTATATAAGTAATATATAAACAATGATTACAGTAGTTATAAGGCGTCTGTGTGGTTTTTGTGTTGCCGCTTCTAGGGTTCTCACTGCCATGTATTCTGAGGAATTTTGTTTTTATAAGTTTATTGGTTTATCTGTTAGGAAAATTAATTAATTATGAAGGAATGAAAGATTTTGCCTTTATTCAACAGATTTACAGACTGTGAACATCACTCTCCGAGTGCTGTTCCATCCAATGAGTCTTGAACTTCCCAAGATCTACACTACACTAGGCGTTGATTATGAAGATCGTGTCCTTCCTTCCATCACAAATGAAGTTCTGAAAGCTGTTGTGGTATGTGTTTGTGGTTTTAATGTTTTGCTTCTCTGATAATCACATGACTGTGTACTTAAGAGTACTCTAATCCATGATTATTAATTATATTGCAGTAAAATGACAAAAATATTCATTGCTCATGTTCAACATGGTTTCATAACCTGGTAATGAAGCAAGGCTCGAGTCTCGGTTCATTACTCTGGGTTCACCCCCACCTACCTTGGGTTCACCCCCACCTACCCTGGGTTCACCCCCACCTACCTTGGGTTCACCCCCACCTACCTTGGGTTCACCCCCACCTACCTTGGGTTCACCCCCACCTACCCTGGGTTCACCCCCACCTACCTTGGGTTCACCCCCACCTACCTTGGGTTCACCCCCACCTACCTTGGGTTCACCCCCACCTACCTTGGGTTCACCCCCACCTACCTTGGGTTCACCCCCACCTACCTTGGGTTCACCCCCACCTACCTTGGGTTCACCCCCACCTACCTTGGGTTCACCCCCACCTACCTTGGGTTCACCCCCACCTACCTTGGGTTCACTCCCACCTACCCTGGGTTCACCCTTACATCCATACACCCTGGGGTTCACCTCCACATACCCTGGGTTCACCCTCACGTCCATACACCCTGGGTTCACCCCCACCTCTGTATACCCTGGGGTTCACCCTCGCGTCCATGTACCCTGGGTTCACCCCACCTCCACGTACCCCCTTACCACCCCTGCCACCAAATACCCCTTATTATTTCCACCACCAAATATCTCCCTCCCCCCCTCCCCCATCAGTCTCATCTCCAAATATCCCCTATTATCCCCACTATTAAATATTCCCCCCCCCCCCCCCCCAATCGTCCCCCACCACCAAATTCCCCCATCATCCCCACCCCCAAATACCTCTCCATCATCCCCCACCACCAAATACCTCTCCATCATCCCCCACCACCAAATACCTCTCCATCATCCCCCACCACCAAATACCTCTCCATCATCCCCCACCACCAAATACCTCTCCATCATCCCCCACCACCAAATACCTCCCCATCGTCCCCCACCACCAAATACCTCCCCATCGTCCCCCACCACCAAATACCTCTCCATTGTCCCCCACCACCAAATACCTCTCCATCGTCCCCCACCACCAAATACCTCTCCATCGTCCCCCACCGCCAAATACCTCCCCATCGTCCCCCACCGCCAAATACCTCCCCATCGTCCCCCACCGCCAAATACCTCCCCATCGTCCCCCACCGCCAAATACCTCTCCATCGTCCCCCACTGCCAAATACCTCCCCATCGTCCCCCACCGCCAAATACCTCCCCATCGTCCCCCACCGCCAAATACCTCCCCATCATCCCCCACCGCCAAATACCTCCCCATCGTCCCCCACCGCCAAATACCTCCCCATCGTCCCCCACCGCCAAATACCTCCCCATCATCCCCCACCCCCAAATACCTCCCCATCGTCCCCCACCACCAAATAGACTTGTGGTGTCAGCTTCAGAGTCAGCGGCCGGATCCTTGATGCCATCCTCTTTGGCCAGTAGGCTCGGTGCTCACTGCACTGGGGGGGTCTGGTTCTCTAAGTTTGCGTTGGCCCTTTTATAGGCCACTCCTTTGATGGGGAATTGAGGGGGGGACGTGACTGGCTCTGTTTGCCCACGCCTGGTCCCACGATTTGTGGGCTTTTCGGGTTGTTTCGCACGGCCTTCGGTGGCATTGGGCAACCCTGCCTCCTGTGGGTGGTTCTGGTCTGGTGGGACAAGCCTCGTTCCTTTCCATCCATCTTGGAGTGAGTTCTTTTGAGCATGGTCGAAACAACCTCCCGGAGTTCAAGGATTGGTTAGGTTTCATGGGAGTGCGACAGGGTTACCTTGAGGTTACCTTGGGGTGCTTCCGGGGCTTAGCGTCCCCGCGGCTGCTCGCAGCCTGACGTATGAGTCACAGCCTGGTTGATCAGGTATCCTTTGGAGGTGCTTATCCAGTTCTCTCTTGAACACTGTGAGGGGGTTTGCCAGTTATGTCCCTTGTGTGTAGCGGAACCGTGTTGAACAGTCTCGGGCCTCTGATGTTGATAGAGTTCTCTCTCAGAGTACCTGTTGCAGCTCTGCTTTTTAACGGGGGTATTCTGCACATCCTGCCATGTCTTTTGGTCTCATGTAATGTTATTTGTGTGCAGGTTTAGGACCAGCCCTTCTAATATTTTCCACGTGTAAATTATTATGTATCTCTCCCACCTGCGCTCAAGGAAGTACAGATTTAAGCTCTTTAGTCGGTCCCAATAGTTTAGATGTTTTACCGAGTGGATTCTAGCAGTAAAGGATCTCTGCATGCTCTCCAGATCAGCAATTTCTCCAGCTTTGAAAGGGGCTGTCATTGTGCAGCAGTACTCTACTCTAGAGAGCACAAGCGTTTTGAAAAGTATCATCATCGGTATAGCATCTCTAGTGTGAAAAGTTCTTGTTACCCAACCTGTCATTTTTCTTGCAGTTGTGACGGCTACTTTATTGTGTTCTTTAAAGGCAAGGTCTTCCGGCATGAGTACACCCAGATCCTTTACATTGCCTTTTCGTTCTATGTTATGATTTGCCTGAGTTTTGTACGTGGTTTCTGTTTTTATATTTTCATTTTTTCCATAGCGCATGAGCTGGAACTTATCTTCGTTAAACACCCTATTATTTTCTGTAGCCCATAGAAAGACCTGAGCTACATCTGATTGGAGGTTTGCCGTGTCCTCTATGTGGCCTACTCTCATGAAGATCCTAGTGTCATCTGCAAAGGATGATACAGTGCTATAGGTTGTGTTCTTGTCTATGTCCGATATGAGGATGAGAAAAAGTACTGGAACAAGCACAGTACCCTCGGGGACTGAGCTCTTCACGGTTGATGGGCTGGATTTTATTTTATTGACTATTACACATTGGGTTCTGTTAGTCAGGAAATTGTAGATCCATCTGCCTATTTTTCCGGTAATTCCTTTTGAACTCATTTTATGTGCAATAACACCATGGTCACATTTATCAAAAGCTTTTGCGAAATCTGTGTAAATTACATCCTCGTTTTGTTTGTCTTCCATAGCATCTAATGCCATATCATAGTGGTCCAGCAACTGCAACAGGCAAGAGCGCCCTGTTCTGAAACCATGTTGTCCGGGGTTATGGAGGTGCTGGGATTCCATGTATTTTGTGATCTTACTTCTTAGCACTCTCAAAAAATTTTGTGATGTGCGATGTTAGTGCTATCGGTCTGTAATTTTTTGCCTCTGCCTTATTTCCTCCTTTATGGAGTGGTGCTATCTCTGCTGTTTTTAGTATATCAGGGATAACGCCAGTATCTAGGCTTTGTCTCCACAGAATGTGGAGGGCCTGCGATAGTGGTTTTTTACAGTTCTTGATGAATATGGAGTTCCAAGAATCCGGGCCTGGTGCAGAGTGCATAGGCATACTGTTTATGGCTTCTTCAAAATCCAGTGGGGATAGGGGGATGTCTGATATATGATACCTGGTTGATGGGGTTCTGAGAGTTCTTCTACTCCCCAAGCCCGGCCCGAGGCCAGGCTTGACTTGTGAGAGTTTGGTCCACTAGGCTGTTGCGTGGAACGGCCCGCAGGCCCACATACCCACCACAGCCCGGTTGGTCCGGCACTCCTTGGAGGAATAAATCTAGTTTCCTCTTGAAAATGTCCACGGTTGTTCCGGCAATATTTCTTATGCTTGCTGGGAGGACGTTGAACAACCGCGGACCTCTGATGTTTGTACAGTGTTCTCTGATTGTGCCTATGGCACCTCTGCTCTTCACTGGTTCTATTCTGCATTTTCTTCCATATCATTCACTCCAGTACGTTGTTATTTTACTGTGTAGATTTGGTACTTGGCCCTCCAGTATTTTCCAGGTGTATATTATTTGATATCTCTCGTCTTCTTTCTAGTGAGTACATTTGGAGGGCTTTGAGTCGATCCCAATAATTTAGGTGCTTTATTGCGTCTATGCATGCCGTATATGTTCTCTGTATTCCCTCTATTTCAGCAATCTCTCCTGCTCTGAAGGGGGGGAAGTGAGTACTGAGCAGTACTCAAGACGGGACAACACAAGTGACTTGAAGAGTACAACCATTGAGATTGGATCCCTAGATTTGAAAGTTCTCGTAATCCATCCTATCATTTTTCTGGCTGTTGCAATATTTGCTTGGTTATGCTCCTTAAACGTTAGGTCGTCAGACATTATTATTCCCAAATCCTTTACATGCTGTTTTCCTACTATGGGTACATTTGATTGTGTTTTGTACTCTGTATTATGCTTAAGGTCTTCATTTTTACCGTACCTGAGTACCTGGAATTTATCACTGTTAACCCTTAACACTTTCGCGCTTTAGATTATTCATGAGTCGTCACCGTATTTTCTTACGTTTCCGCATAACAGACTACGCCTGTAGTCCATCGAAAAAATATTTGTATAAATTCCATTTTCTAACCGAACTGGATGGGGATACTCTCAGATTTTTCGCCATGAAATTCCCGTTCTCCCTCACCGAACACATGGCATCTCGGCCTACCCGGTCACGTGGTCGGCCCATTGTTTTGTTGACACCACAAGTGCCCACACTGCGCTCCCCTCTCGCGGCAAACGTGACCCGTTTTACGCATTTATTTCCGTTTCGTTTCCGTTCTTGTGTACCTAAAACCAATTCAATACCTTCAACATGGAAGCTGCACCAGGAACAAGCAGTGGAACGCAAAAGAAGGTAGGAAATCTAGGAAAGCAGAAGAGATCGCCATGATTCACGATCTGTATCGTGGGGTCAAGCTCACTCCATCCAAGATTCCCGACGTTGTTGAAGCCTTTTCAGGGTCTTCTGATGATGAATTTGAGGCTGACGAACCTGAAAATGATATGTTATATGAGGTTTCCACAACTGATGATATTTCAAGTGAGAGTGAGGATGAGAGTGAAGAAGAAGCCCCTGCCCCGCCACGCGGAAACCGCACGTGTCCGGTACCAAAGAGGGCTAGGCTGGGTG